TTTCGGAATTTGCATTTGAAATGAGAAAATACTCAACAGAATGCAAATCACCCGCACGATGGCATGGAGAAAGTTATTGTCCTCCTACAGTTGGAAATCTAACAGCCATATGGAATGGCATGGCTAATGCTGCAGTACTGTAAATCCAGTGGAGGCTTTATGTAATGAAGTGCTACATATGGGCTGGCAGCTATAAATAGTATGTACATAAATCAGTTCCAAATGTTTCATAGATTCATCCATGCCATTCTGCTGCTGGTCTTTCAACGAAGTGATCACACCCCACCAGAAAAAAAACAGAAGAGAACTGCCAGCCGCCGTACAGCGTCGCCAGTGATGATGAAACCGAAAATTGTTCTAGTTTGGGAACTGATTTTATTGATTAAATGTTATTGTCCGACCAACTGAGCGACCGGCTGCTTGCGAATCTACGTCAAGCAAATGATTTTGCAATCATTTCTTTATTGACGAGTGTTTTGCAAATAGAAGAAGAAAATGAAAAAAAAAAAAAACAACATCAACAACGGTGATGACAGGAAGTTCAATTTATGGCAAATATCGGTTTTGGTTTTGGGGAAATTGAAAAAATAAACCGCAATTCAATTAAAATGCAGAAAGGGCTATTTTGTTGAGTGATATAGCGAAGACCAAAAGAAGTTGGTGAAATTTAGAATGTTGATCAGTTATGGTATGGGAGGTGTGATAAAACCAGCAGATTCAAAAGCTAAAATCCATTGTTAGAAACGTTAACTCAACATTTACACCCAATGGTAAAAATAGGGATTACGAAATTAAAGATCTTGAAGATTTTATTTAAATATTTGCCGAATATCTAAATAAATAAATATATCACCCAGCACGTCTACTGTTAATTATGTCACTCTTTTAAGGCTCGAAAAGTTTGAGAATGGTGCGTAATACACCAGTAAAGAAAGTCTTAAGGTCAGGCGGGGCCGACTTAATGGTACCCTACACCACTTTGCTAATTTAGTAGAGCTCCACATAACAATTAAAAGTTTTTATGGGATAATTCACACATACTCGCTATGATTAAAGTTATAATTTAAAGTTCAAAAGATTAAATATGCCGAAGCATTTGTATCTTTTAAATTCGGACTTGTATTGCCCATTTGATATATATGGGAGCTATATCCAAATCTGAACCGATCTTGATAAAATTTGACAAATATATTTCTGAGCTGTATTGCATATATTTCCCTTAATATCGTCGTTACGGAATGCAACGAAAGGCTGTGGGTAACAAATATAACAAGTCGGATGAACAATATATATGGGAGCTAAAGCTATATCTGAACCGATCTTCACCAAATTTGACATACTAGCTTCTAGACTCAATTCGAACGTAAGTGCCAAATTTCATCCCATTTGGGCAAATATTAGACGTTTGGTGCACAGTAAAAGGTAAATCGAAAGAAGTTATATATGGGAGATATATCCAAATCCGAACCGATCTCGATAAAATTTAGCAAAGGTATTTCGGAGCTGTATTTGATATATTTCCCCAAATATTGTTGTTACAGAGTGGATATTACGGCTGCGGAGGACTAAAATAACAAATAGGATGAACAATATATATTGGAGCTATCGCTATATCTGAACCGATTCCGATCAAATTTGTCGTACTTATTTTCAGGCCTAATTTGGTTGTATGTGCAAAATTCCATACTATTCGGACTGATATTACACGTTTGGTGCACAATAAAATGCAAATCGGACAAAGATATATATGGGAGCTATATCTAAATTTTACCGATTATCTCCAATTTCAATAGGGTTCGTCTTTGGGCCAAACAAAAAATTTTGTGCAAAATTTCATCTGGATCGGGTAGTAAATGCAAACTGTACTTTGTTCACAAAAATACATGGACCGCCGGACGGACTTACGGACATGCATAAATCGACTCATAATATGCAGATCATCAAAAAAAAAAACTATGGATCTATCTCGTTTCCTTTTGTCTGTTACAAACAAATGCACAAAGACATAATACCCTGACCACCCTGTGGTGTAGGGTATAAAAAGTTTTCTCTCATCTTTATTCAATTTTGATAATAACAATTAGAGCTTTCACAGTTGTATCTATTCTTTCGGGAGAATACTTTGAATAGCTCAGTTCAATATTTGAATTTTTAAATGATTGAATAATCTGCTTTATAAATTGTAGGCATAAACCAAGCAGGACACTGATCTTTATTTTGTTTAACTATAGGTAAAGAGTTAGATAATACAACTACATCTCTCACAAAATGTTGCGACACAAAAGTCAATGTCGTCACTAAGACGTCACATAGTGCCCGATAGAAGACAGTGGTGTTTGACAAGGTTTGTTTTCCCAATGGATTCGTAAATAAGTAGAATTGTGCCAGAAACATTGCAAAAGCTACCAATGCATCCAGGACTGTTTGGTGCAATTTATAGGCTAATGGCATCATTGAACTTCTTCTTCAAAGATGTACTCTTACGATTATTAAAAATATGTTGACTTCTGTTACGATTGTTCATATGTTTAACCCCTTATGCCCCTTATAAATCGGATACTCCCTTCGAGAGTTATCGAGCGCACCAGCCAGACAGACACAGATTTGACCAAAGAGACCTAGGGTCTAAAACCGTTATTTCGACTAGGCACTTTTGACCGTATCAAATGATATATACCCTCTGTAGCCATATGGCTGAGGGTATGAAAAGTGCAAGAACTTACACCACAACAGAAAGAAAATAGACTCAAAAGAGCTAAAGAGTTGCTTCGCTTGGCCGAAAGTGGTGAACTGCCGAATTTGGTTTTCTCCGATGAGAAAACATTCGTTGTCCAGCAGTTTGTAAACAAACAAAATGATCGTGTTTACTTGCCAAAAAGGTTAGCTGATAATGTGCACCTTCGGTTGGCCATCAGAACTCAAGCGCCGACCATGGTGATGATGTGTGCCGCCATAACAGCCGATGGTCACTCTCCGCTCTTATTAATCGAACGTGGCATCAGAATAAATGCCGAATATTATCGCGAAAATATTCTGGAGGGTGTATTAAAGCCTTAGGCACGCAAACATTTTGGCCGCAGACCTTGGACATTCCAATAGGCCTCAGCACCATCTCACTCAGCACGCGCCACCCAAGAATTGTTACAAAATGAGGTTCATCACTTCATTACCAGCGCACAATGGCCACAAAAATCTCCCTGTTACCAATCCGTTGGACTATTGTGTATGGAGTATTTTGGAAAGCAAGGTTGGTACTAAACAATACCAAAATGTCGATCTCCTCAACTTCTTCTAAAATTTGATGCTATTTCCGACATTTTTTGCTTTCATTCAATAAATTTAAAAAAAATTAAAAATTATGGCGTTTGACCTTGTTACAGTTTTTTTTTATCTCACCCTGTATATGGTAGCTATATCTAAATTTGAACCGATTCTGACCAATTTTTATAAAAAATTCAAATTTCATATCAATCGGATAATTAACGCGACCTGCATTATGTTTACAAGAATACATGGACAGACGGACTGATTGACATGCATAAATCGACTCAGAAGGTGATTTTATGAAGATCCTCAAAAGTAACTAAGGGTCTATCTTGCTTCCTTCTCCATGTTACAATCAAGTGCACAGGACACAATACTTTTACCACTATTTAGTGCAGGGTATAAACCCTTTAAAAATGTCTTGAACGTTTCTTGAACATTAAAAACTTTTCTTTATTAATACCCTGGCTTTATTAATTTCAATTCATCAGTCGATAGCAAACATACCATCTTCTCGAAGACCTGATTTCAAAAGGTCCGATTTTCTGCCTGTTTCTTTTAGGAGGTCGTAAATCATGTCTAAGGGTATGGATAATTATGAGGATAGTAACAAGTTTTTTGAAACATCCGATGAGGAGCATTTAAATGGGACAATTCTAAAGTCAAAAGGTGTAAACCGTGCAAGGTTGAAGAAGAGGCTGTAACGATCAATTATGCCCATTATGCCACTGTCCTGCTTTATCAAGAGTTACACTATACCCATACATTCAGAAATGCAAAAAAAAACAATTGGAGTTTACTACAAATATTAAGATTGGAGTTAATTTTCGGCGGAAAGCAGAACGGATTATTCTTTCAACTCTTGTTGGTCCGTCAGTTAATGCCGATTTGGCATGCGTATATGTCCGCTGAGCTTCTTATAATGTGTTACACATTTTAGACCTTTACTACCCAATTCCCATTAGATCGTCCGAAAATCCCACTAGATTAACACATAGTAGTATGATGCCACCTTGTATTTCGGTATTTTGATGAATTTTGCCACATTTTTCCAAGGATTCCTATGACGCATATATAACGATACCCACCGATATTCGGTATTTTGATAATCCTAGTTACATTTACCCACGATTTTTTTTTTAAATTTGGCATTTAAGACTCATTTTTTGAAAAGTTGAACAGCATTATCTTAACGATTTTATTGGTATTTGTAGTTTAAAGTGGAACACGCTTTAGATACTTTTATATAAAAATGTTTTCTTTACCCAATGGTGGAGGTTAATAAAAGTTCCGCTGAGCTTAATGTTTTTTTTACATAGTTTTCGACTATAGTTTACATTTAAATATATTTAAATATATGTAAATAATATTTTGAAATTGTTTCGAGCCAGATATTGAAAAAATGACGAATGTATTACATTTCTTATCCAAAGAAACACACAGTCGTAGCTGATACACATAAAATGATAGCATTCTTTTAGGCAACTGAATATTGTGTCTTGCTAGCAACAGTCAAGTGTAATGATAAAGATCTTTAACAACGAAAAGGAAGTTCCAGTGCTTCTACGAGAAAGCTATAAAAGGTGGATTGCAGTAGATTAACAAATGTCAGTTATTCTTTAAAAATTAAACCGAAAACACCAACGTATAGTTATTAGTTTAACATTTAATTGCAAATAATTTCAATAAAATTAATTTCCAGCTAGAAAATGCATAATATAACGAATGCATTACATTTCTTAGCCAAAGAAATACACAGTGCTGGCTAATTGATAAGGAAACCCTGATACACAGAAATTGATAGCATACTTTTAGGCAACTGAAAATAGTTTCTTGCTAACAACAGTCAAGTGTGGTGATAAAGATCTCTAACAACGAAAAGGAAGTTCCATTGCCTCTACGAGAAAGCTATAAAAGAGTGGATACAATAACCGAGCAAATGTCAGTAGTTCTCTCAAAATTAAAGCCGAAACACCAACGTATACTTATTAATTCAACATTTCATTGCAAATGTATTGTTCCTTTACTTTTCAAAATGATAAAAGTTGAAAATAATAAAAATCCGATAACAGAATTCTCCTTTGTATTGTGCTGCTATGTTATGTAATGGAACACATTTCGAGTAAAAAATTGAAAATTTTTGCACGTAAGGAACAGACCCAAAATGTTGGCAAATAATTCTAAGCCCCCAATCAAACACAATCCTCCCATTTACTACATTCACTTCGAGGATTATCTGAGACCGAAAAACGTAGAGAAAAACCAAAAACCATTGCTGCTGCCCGAAAAACCAGAATTACGTTTAAAACTTTTGGAACATCCGGTATTGGTGGCAGGACGTAAATCTAAATGGCAAATTTTCAAAGACAAATTTAAAAAATTCCAACAAAGATTTGCAAAACCGAAACCACAAACATTTTTAAGGACACCTGAGAGGCATGGCAGCCCTACGACAAGTCAGGGCGAAGAAGACCTTGGCAAGGTTAAACATGTCATTGCAAAATGTCGTCAAAAGGTAGCATTACGTAAACGACGTTGGGGTTCGATAAAGTTGCCGCAATTTCTATCGTTCTTAAGGGCCCGAAATGATGATGGTCTGTGCAAACGGAAATCCGGCTTTGAAATATATTGTGAAATGGCCAGCATTCATGGTTTCATTAATTTTGTTGGTTCCACAACGGGTCAGAGGGCATTTTGGTGTTTTGTCATATTTGTGGCCATATCCATGTCGGGATTCATTTTACTGCTGTCGCATTTAATGAACACCAGTACACCAACAATTTTGTATACAGAAAGTACACAATTTCCAACCTGGATTATACCATTTCCCGCCGTGACCATATGTAACATGAATTTGATGTCTAAGACCAAAACCAATGCCTTGGCAGAGAGATTGTAAGTTTTTAAAGAGAGAACATTTTAAAAATATAATTGATATGTGATAAGTTCTCTGCTCTCTTCCCACAGTAAACGCAATACAAATCTCACGAAAACAGAAATAATTCATTTATTTCGCCTGTTCTTATATACCGCACAGACGATTAAGGCAAGTAATGAAGAATACCAAAAACTGGATGTATTACTGCGAGGGCAAAACATGACATTATACGAATTGGGAGAGAGATTGGCCCCAAATTGTGAAACATTATTGCTGCGTTGTAAATGGAAGGGACGCCATGAACGCTGTAGCAACATATTCCGGAAAGTCCCCACTTCAACTGGCATCTGTTGTGCTTTCAACTCACATTTAGACAAAATTCAAAATGATAAAAGGTAATTTAAAGTATTTTTTTTGTTCAAAAATTTAAACAATATTTAAATGCATCATAATATTTATTAACAATTAAAAAAATGTATTAACAATTAAAATCTCTCTGAATTACAGAACAAATTTAGAAAATAATGACGACTTAGAATATACTACCAGTTGTGGCGCCCAAACAGGATTGACAGTGCTAATAAATCCCGAATTGGAAGACTATCATTTGACGCAAAGAAAAATGGCCGGCGTTAAAGTATTCATTAGAGATGCTTATGATTATACAAACACTAACGGTTTGGAGAGCATCATTTCACCGGATACCATAAAATTTATTCGCATTATGCCGCAACAAACGCACTCAACCGACTACTTGGCAAGCCTAAATTTACGTTCACGACGTTGCTATTTAGCCAACGAGAGAAAGTTATTTCATTTCCGTTCATATTCTCAAGTGAATTGTTTGATGGAATGTCGCTCGATGAAGTTGCACGAAACGTGTAACTGTACTTTACCGTATTGGCCACGAAAGGAAAACTGGGCCTATTGTGGCCTAAAGGAAAGGGAGTGTGTTTTCCAATACAAAGGTGAAATAAAAAAGAAATTTGAACTTTTTTTGAAATGTGTTAAAACTCATTATCTTAAATTTTAGGCCTCGTCACCTCGGTGTTGCAACCTAAAGCTGCTGAACAAAAGAACAACAATTATGCTGAAACATTTATTTGTGATTGTTATCCTCTGTGTGATTTTAATATGTATGCCACCTTTGAGGATTCTGGGATTTTGGATCGTAAATATTCTTTAACGGATTTGAGATTTTTGTAAGCCTAATTTTTTAAATTTCTTTATTAGCGTAAAATTATATATTTTAAATACAACTTTTTAAACCTTCAGCTATATGACTACTGAGGGTATATAACATTTGAATCGGCCAAAACGTGCCTCATCGAAATAACGGTTTTAGACTCTTATGTCAGTTTTAGGATATTCGGAATCGATCTAGCGATGTCCGTCCATCCGTCAGTCTGTCTGTCTGTCTGGTGGCTGGTGCGCACCATAAATCTCGAAAGGAGTATTCGATTTGGTCGAAACTAAGTACATCGTAATATTATTATCAAACTTAGATCGTGCACAATTACTGCACAGAAATAATCATTCGCTTCTGTTCATATTTCACACATCCCATTATTTCTACTTACACAAAATTTGCTGTGAAGATGGTAGAGATCGGACCATTTTTCTGGTACCTCCCCCACATAGGGTTAAAGATTTGAAAAACCAAACGCTCAAAGAAGTAGGTATCTAACTCTCTTCAAATGTCTCATAAACAAACATTATTACAAACACATGATCTGTTGTGAAGATGATATATATCTGCGAACCCCTATTGGTATCTCTCCCACAAAAGGTCACAATTTCCAATACTATTATCTGTCATAACTTGTGAAACAAATCAGCGATTCTTTACATCCAAATATTTCTCTCAACCAAAAACCTGTGATGAATGTGGAATTTATGATTTCGCATAAAATACATTTTCAATACATTTTTTACATTTTCTTGTAACTTTGCCCATGCCAATATTTTTACCTATATTAGATGAGGTATGAAAATTTAATACTTCGGTCGACTATATCTAGTACCTTACGCACATTTTTCTAAAAATGATCACACATTTCATACAAAGTGAAGGAAGTAGCCAATATAGTCCATAAATGGCACGTCGCAATATTTATATCATATTTATTTAGGTCACAAATTGACGGTATTGGCCCGTTCCTTCGGAACATACTCCATAGAGGGTCAATAATTTGAATAATCACAACAGAAGTCATAATATATTTAAATATATTAATCAGAAATTGATCATTATACATCAATACATCTGTCTGATACTTTTGAGCTTGTTATTAGTCCCATTCAATGTTCTATAAAGTCTCTATATTAGTCTTTATATAGACTCATTTTTGATAGCCTACAGAAACTTCGTTTACTAGTCTATTGATGTTCCTTTTCCGGCTTATGGAGAGTTGTAGCATTACGTCCTAACATATATCCAGATGCGATTAGCGGCGGGGATAACACCCACATTCACGAATATAGGGAGAGTACCACAGTTTTCCAGACAATTTTTTATCATCAGGGCATTTTCACCCTTTAATTCTCTAGGTTCAGACAAACTCCCCATAATCGTCTTCATTTCATAAATTTAAAGACTTCGGCAACTGAATCAAATGACTAATCAAACCTTCTAAGCTGGGGTAGCAGAAAATAATTAACAACGTAACATTTAACTCAAACTGCCACTAGCAACCCACATCATTTTTGAGGACTGAAAAATAATCACAATGACACTGCCAATGAAACCAAACGAGGATACCAGCCTTGGCCATTCTAAAGTTTCAAGTTTCAAGTCAGAGTTCCCGCTGTCATATAAAATACGGGTCAACAATATTTTCATCAATTATAAGACAATAGCATTTATTTTGGTTTAAGAATCTACTTTTCCCCAATTTGTATTCTCTTCTGTTCTGGCATTGAACTCGTACATTTTAACGCACTACACACAGTGTCACGGTTAAGAACTTCTAGTTTTGTGAAAAAAAATACTTCAAGGACCCTACTTTCGTTCAGTTTAGTTGTTTCATTCGATTTTATTTTTAACTAATCTGGTTCGAGAGATCCATGAAAAATAAATTTATCTCATTAAAGTTTAGTGGCAATCGATAAAGACATAGCTTTTGTTTGAAAGTTTCAACCGATTTGAAATTTAAACCGGTCTAAAGCCTTAATACTCACTTAATAATTAAAACGGCAATATGAACTTTTTTTGCTACAGGCGACCCTACTACATATTCACAAAACGGTACCGCCCAACTTTTGTTTTTATACCCTCCACCATACTATGGAGGGTATATTAACTTTGTCATTCCGTTTGTAACTCCTCGAAATACTCATGTCAGACATAACAAAGTATATATATATATTCTTGATCATCGTAAAATTGTAAAACGATTTAGCATACCTGCCGATATTCGGTATTTTGAGCCTGAGACAGAAAATTGTCTTTGCAGGTCCACGTCTTCGTATAGCCCCCATATAACGGTACCTCCCGATTCGGTAATTTGATGATTTTAGCGTCATTATTCACCGGAGTAGTTTCAAATTACGTATTTAGAGTTCGTAATGGGAACTACAGTATGTGACAGAAAATTGTCTATGTAGGTCTTCGTATAGCTTCGATAAAACTGTACCTTCCTATATAAGGTATTTTGATGATTTTAACTACATTATTCACCGTTTATTTATTTATTTATTTGAATATGGTAATGGCTTATGACAACAATGCCTATGTAGGTCCACGTCGTATAGACCCCAATATAACGGTTATATTTGGTATTTTTAAGTTTTTAACAGAGTTTTTTAAGGATTTTATTTTTTGAACATTTCCAAATTCGTTCAAAAGGTGGAGGGTATTCAAAGTTCGGCCCGGCAGAACTTACTGCTTTTTATCTTGTTCCTTACTGGTTTCTGCTTAAGAACTGCGAGAAGCTTTACATATTTAGTGGTTTTAGAGCATACCTTAAGGCGCTCCCCACAATTTTTAAACTGAAGTGAACTTAACGCCTCTGTTACTTACTCGACAATTACTCATTCGACAATTTCCTTTTAGTCTTCTATAGAGACTCTATAGCGAAACTTTTCCCAGTAGCCTATAGATACTCCTTATCGGTCGTTTATTGAGACTCCCTTTGGTCATTTTTTACCATCAATCATACTGTGGAGGGTATACTAACTTGGTCATACCCTTTGTAACTCCTCGAAGAACTTCTGTTAGACCCAACAAAGAAATATATGTTCTTGATCAGCATAAAATTTTAAGTCGATTAGGCGATGTCCGTTTGTCTGGCTGTTGTAAACACGTTATCTTTGGAGCGAATTGAGATAAAAGGCACACATGTGTATTTTGCCAGTAGGCAGGTTAAATTTACGATGTCGGGCCATAAGTATGGCCCCCATATAACTATACCTCCCGATATTTTGTATTTTGATGATTTTAGCGACATTATTTACTGGAATTGATTCAAATTTCGTTCTTCAAGTTTTTATTCGGTATTTTGATGAAATTTGCGACATTATTTACCTTTTTTTCAAATGTATGACAAAAAATTACTAATGCAAGACAACGTCATAGTATAGGCCCAATATAAAGGTTTTAATTTGAGCGGTAAAATGAACAGACAGAGCTGTATTTATTACCAATTAGCTTCCTGGCCGACCTTATATAGGCCTTGGGCACACTTATAAAACAATTGTTCCCAGCTGGTTGCTCTACATTGCCCTTTTGCTGCTATAAGCATGGTATAACAACAAAAAATAATAACAGGAAAAGTTCCTCACATCATGAAACTAGAAATAAACTGTTAGCGATTTAAACGTTTACATCTTAAATTAGCCTATACCATCTTCCATATAAATATTTTCTTTTTTTTTCAATTTTCGGATTAAGGTTTTTTTTTTGGATCCGGCCATTTCTGGTATATAGAGTATTGGGCAATATTACTGATAATATACAAGGATTATTTGAAATGTTAACTTTCAAGCCCGTCACAAAAGCGTTCTTTTTGGTCTTTGTTCGCCTTTAGTATAAAAAATGGATTAAAATCACAAAATTTCATTACTGAAGAGTAAAATCAGCACTATTTTTCTGCTAATGATAGTACCATTAGTCGGAATAAACACCGTTTTTACTAATTTTCAACTTTTGAAACTTTACACTTAACCATTTTTTTAAAGTAAAGAAACAAAGAAATTATTGTAATAATTATTTAAAAAAGTCATTTCTACATCTTCCAGCAAGGACATCAACATTACCAATCACATTGTCCTTCATGCATTTTATGCGCACCTCTATGCAGAACGTCTGCGTTTGGATGTCTATGAGAATTGGTTAACATTTATTGGAACATTTGGCGGTATAACTGGTCTCCATATGGGCTATAGTTTTGTTTCGGGTTTCGAAATGATATTTTTCGTTTTCGTACGTCCAGCCTGCAACTGGTTGACGAAGAAACAAATTCGCTATCGCATAAAACGGCGAAAAAGGAAGGCACAATTAGAGGCCGAGAAGAAGCGTAAAGCCGACGAGGAGAGGGAACGGCAAGAACGAATTGAGGCATTTTTACGAATGAGGCCATATTGTCAGTATTGAATGAAATGTTAATTTGGGGCCGAGGAGGAGATACAACAAAAGGAAGTGTGTATGGAAGAGTTTTTCATATTTATGAATGAATACATGTGAATTGAATTAGGATACATACATTTCTTGTTTGTTTTGACAGTTAAGCATAAAAATAATAATAATTAATAAATTCCCCGTTTATGAAAAACAATTAGCCATTGTGTGTTTTTGTGATTAGAAAGACAATTAGTGGATGGTTGTTAATGATGGTCAGTGTCATCGTGACACGATGCCACTTAAATCAAATTCCTGGTGAGGGGGCGTAATTCGATTAACCTATCACTTGTTGTTCGACTTAATGATAGGATTCGATGACACTCACCGTTCACAGTCACTTGAAGATAGGTCAACCGAGCAGTCCTCAAATAAAGAAATGGACGTAAAAACGAAACCCATTTTCGCCATTAAAAATGTTGTTCCATACAGCAATAATTTTGAGCATTACCTGAAACCGTCGTTCTCCTCAACGGCAACCTCAATGGCCTATTTGGAGAAATCTTCGAAGGGCCTAAAACGTAAATCCAAGGCACAAAGTGTTAAATCATGGTTTATGGAGAATTTTCGAAACTTCTGCAACACCACATCGCTGCATGGTTTCAATTATATAACACGCATGGATTTGTCCAAGAATGAGAGAATCTTTTGGCTCATTATTACCATAATTGCCATAATTGTATCGATATCTCTGGTAATTGTATCCTACATATGGAATAGTGAAACTCCCACGGTGACTGTTATTGAAAGTTCCCATTATCCCACCTGGAATATACCCTTCCCGGCTGTGACTCTGTGTAATTTTAATAAAATTTCCAAGACGAAGGCAGAAAATATGGCAAGTGCTTTGTAAGTAGATTACATACAATCATAAAAACTTTAATAACCCTAATTATTTTATTATTCCCTTTTCTAGAAAACGTCCAGCCAACACCACCGAAGCGGATGTCATAAAAATGTTTAATATTGTCATGTATTACAGTTTCGCCTTTAATGAATCCGACACAAATATGACATTTGCCAAGCAAGTTTTGACCATGAACAATATGACATTGAATGATTTGTCCCGCACCTTGACACCGAATTGTATGGATATGATATCACGTTGTATTTGGAAGGGTACCAACACACGTTGCGATGGCCTATTTCAACGCATCAAATCAATGGGTCTGGGAGAATGTTGCACCTTTAATTATTTTGGAGAGCAAAAGCATAATTTTCCAGAGTAAGTAAATGTTAAGTGTTGGTGAGAGGCAAAAAAATTAGGCATCTAAAGAAAAGAATATTAGTAACAAGTTAAAAAGCAGTAAGTTCGGCCTGACCGAACTTTGAATACCCTCCACCATTTGGAACGAATTTGGAAATTTTCAAAAAATAAAATCCGTTAGAAATACTGTTAGAATCTTAACAAGTAAAAAAGCAGTAAGTTCGGCCGGGCCGAACTTTTAATACCCTCCACCATTTGGTACAAATTTGGCAATTTTCAAAAAAATAAATAAAATCCGTTAAAAATTCTGCTAAAATTTTAAAAATACCGAATGCTTATACGACGACTTGGACCTGCATAGGCAACTTTTGTCATAAGTTATTACAATATTTAAATGCGAAACTTGAAGAAAAATCTGTTTATAATGTAGCTAAAATCATCAAAATACCGAATATGTGGGGTACCCTTATATGGGGGCTATACGAAGACGTGGACCTGCACAGACAATTTTCTGGCATGGGCTGAAGTATCCAATACGAACTTCACATGCGAAATTTGAAACAATCCCGGTAAATAATGTCGCTAAAATCATCAAAATACCGAATATCGGGGGGTACGGTATATGGGGGCTATACGAAGACGTGGACCTATATGGCCTATTTTCTGTTTTATGCTGCAGTATCTATTACGAACTTCAAATACCAAATTTGGAACGATTCCGTTAAATAATGTCGCTAAAATCATCAAAATACCGAATATCGGGGGGAATTGTTATATGGGGGCTATATGAAGACGTGGACCTACATGGCTCATTTTTTGACTTAGGATGTAATATCCGTTACGAACATCAAATACCAAATTTGAAACGATTCCGGTAAACAATGTCGCTAAAATCGTCAAAATACCGAATATCGGGGGGTACCGTTATATGGGGGCTACACGAAGGCGTGGACCTGCACAGATAATTTTCTGTCTTAGGTTTTAGTATCTATTACGAACTTCAAATGCCAAATTTGAAACAATTCCGATGAATAATGTCGGTAAAATCATCAAAATACCGAATATCGGGAGGTACGTTATTTGGGGGCTATATGAGAACTTGGACCTACATGGCCCATTTACGAACTTAACCTGCCTACTGGCAAAATATACATGTGTGCAAAATTTTAGCCTTCTATCTCAATTTGTTCGAAAGATAGCGTGATTACAACAGACGGACAGACAGACAGACAGACAGACAGACACACAGACACACAGACGGACATCGCTAAATCGACTTAGAATTTTACGCTGATCAAGAATATATTATTTCGAGGAGTTACAAACGGTGAATAATGTGGCTAAAAACATCAAAATGCCGAATATAGGGAGTTACTGATATATGGAGCCTTCTCGAAGACCCGGACCTTCATAAACAATTTTCTGTCACAGACTGTAGTTCCCATTACGAACTCTAAATACGTAATTTGAAACTACTGCGGCGAATAATGACGCTAAAATCATAAAATTACCGAAAATCGGAAGGATCCGTTATATGGGGGCTATACGAAGATGTGGACCTGCACAGACACTTTTCTGGCTTACGCTGTAGTATCTATTACGAACTTCGAATACCAAATTTGAAACAATTCTGGTGAATAATGTCGCCTAAATCACAAAAGTACCGAATATCGCAAGCTACCGTTATATGGGGGCTATACGAAGACGTGAACCTACACAGACAATCTCCTGTCATAGGCTGTAGCATCCAATACGAACTTCAAATACCAAATTGGAAACAATTCCGGTGAATAATGTCGCTAAAATCATCAAAGTACCAAATATCGGAAGGTATCGTTGTATGAGGACTATACCAAAACGTGGACCTACATGGCCCGTTTTCAATACAAAAAGTCCTGCAGACATAATATACATTTGAGTAATGTTTCACCTCAAACAAGCGCTACGCCGGGAATGGGCCAAAATACCGCAGAACAACATTCGGGCAGCATGGGACGGTTTCATTGGCCGTTTGAAAGCCATAATTCGTACCAAAGGTGACCAAATCGAACAAATTTAAACTTATTCTAAAGTTTGATGTTATTTCCGACATTTTTTGATTTCATTCAATAACATTTAAAAAAATGTAAAAATTATGGCCTTTGACTTTGTTGCAATTTTTTTTATCTCACCCTGTATTCATTTCTCCTAGTACCTCCCTCCATACAAAGTCAACACTCGTAAATTGTGAAATCAATGACTGTTTCTTTTGAAAACGAAACTTAGCTAAGATTTTCCCTGTGTTAGTGAAAGTGTGAAAGTTGAATATTTCGGCAAACCCTTCCTGGCAAAAAATTCAAACCTTTTGCTCAGCTGAGGGATACGATATAGTTTAAACTTAGCACATCTTAATATTAAGATATAACTTGGCTGAAGTATGAAATTATTAATATTAATCAACTCCTTTTGTACCTGTAATGAGTAATAATAAATCTCGTCATATTTGATATCGATATCCGATTTTTCTCAAACTTAGCGCAGTGCAATAGTTTGGCTTAGAGAAATCATTAAAAAAGTAAATGGCACTCTATTAGTTTTAGTACCAGCTCCAACAACATTTTGTAATAAAAACCAGTAAAGACAGTCTTAAAGTCGGACGGGGCCGACTTTATGATACCCTACACCACTTTGCATATTTAATAGAGCTTTATATAACAATTAACACTTTTTATGGGATAATTAAATCATACAAGCTACGAGTATAATTATAATTTAAAGTTCAAAAGACTATATATGCCGAAGAATTTGCATCCTTTTAATTGACGCTTGTATTGCCCATTTGGTGCACAATTAACTTGAAATCGGATAAAGATATACGTGGGAGCTATATCCAAATCTGAACAGATCTCGATAAAATTGGCAAAGATATATCTGAACTGCATTTGATATATTTCCCTGAATATTGTTGTTAGGGAGTGTATATTACGGCTGTGGGTAACAAATACAGCAAATCGGATGAACAATATATATGGGAGCTATGGCTATATCTGAACCCATGTTCACCAAAAATTTGACATACCAGCGTCTAGACTCAATTTGGTGGTAAGTACCAAATTCCATCCCATTTGGGCTAATATTACATGTTTGTTGCGCAATAAAAGGCAAATCGGACGAAGTTATATATGGGAGCTATATCGAAATCTGAATCGATCTCGATAAAATTTTGCAAATGTATTTCTGAGCTGTATTTGATATATTTCCCCAAATATTGTTGTTGCATAGTGCATATTACGGCGGCGGTGGACAAAAATAACAAATCGGATGAACAATATATATGGGAGCTATAGCTATATCTGAACCGATTTCGATCAAATTTGGCATACATATTTTCAGGCCTATTTTGGGTGTATATGCAAATTTCCATACAATTCGGGCTGTTATTACTGCACAAAAAGGCAAATCAGACGAAGATATACATGGGAGCCACATCTAAATTTTATCCGATTATCTCCAATTTCAATAGGGTTCGTCCTTGGGCCAAACAAATGATCTGTGCAAAATTTCATCTGGATTGGGCAATAAATACGACCTGTATTTTGTTTACAAAAATACCTGGACAGACGGACGGACATAAATAAATCGACTCAGAATGTGATTCTATGGAGATCATCAAAAGGAACTATGGGTCGATTCCTTTTGCATGTTACAAACGAATGCACAAAGACATAATACCCTAACCACCTTGTGATGTAGGGTATACAAACAAAAAAGTATTAGATTAATGCTGCTAACAGTTCCTCGTTGATGGGCAAGGAACTTTCTCACAATTATGTTTAAAAATTCCTAAGTTTAATAAAAATGTAATATTCAAAGTATAGATCGACACGAATAGTCCCTTTGGGATTCATAAATATGACAGTTTGAGAGAGATTAACAAAAGGAGTAAAGGAGATTAAATTTTCACAAGTCTGAGGAAATTGGAATCCACTCAGCTTTATTCGGTTCAAGGATACTTTTACTTCTGGCACAGTTATTAGGGATTCCAATCTAAAGGTATTTTTGGAATAACCCTTGTAATCTTATTTGTATGTCGCTATAAATTAATAATTTGTAAAAGGAATGGGTGTCATTTTAACTCTAGGTGATATATTTTTGTCCTGCTGGGGGTTTCTAGTAAAATTACTTGATTGTGAATGATTGGATGCATGGATGTAATTGATAATTCGACCAAAATTTTAAAAAAATAAGACACATATGTCAATTACTTGTAATTAAACATGACCGCGGCTTCAATAAATCTGTCACATTTTCCTACATTGCTGAATATCCAAATGACAGTGGCAGTGTTCAAAAAAGGAGATATTTCACTATAAACTTTAAGTTCTTTCCTTGGCTGTTGGGTTAAGATATTTTACTCAATAATTGTTTCTGGTTGCTCTCTTACAAAATTATTTAACATCTCAGACCTACTATATGTTTGACGAAATCCCGGACATTATCTGTTGCTCCTACAAAATTTAGACTTCGTTAAAAATTGTCAACTTCTATCATTCAAGTCTTACTGAAATTGTGACTGCATTGCACTATTTCAACCCCATTTAATTCAAAAACCATTTTTTCTCTTCTCCGTTTATTTTTCAGAAAAATTGCCTATTTGGTACCCAAACGTCCATATCGTGTTACTGGTTGCGGTTACCCTACAGGTCTTTCGATACTCATCAATCCCTTTGCCTTTGATTATTCCGCTTCGTCATTCAGTAGTTATGGATTTCGTTTGCTAATACACGACTCCTACACGGTTCCCGATGAAAATGCAGAGACGAAAATAATATCCTCCGCCCGAGAAAGTTTTGTTCACATTAATCCCGAGTCCACCTATGCCACATATGATATTAATAATTTACGCATCAAAGAGAGGAATTGTTTGTTTCCCTACGAACGGAGATTGACGGTAATGCAACGGTATTCCTTTACGAACTGCATGTGGGAGTGTCGGGTGAATCTGATAATGAAAAATTGTGGTTGTGTACCGCACTCGTTGGCGAATAATGGCAGCTATCCGGTGTGCGATGTTGGCGATGTGAAATGTGTTATTAAAAATCGAAGTATATCACTTATACATTATAGATATTTAGTTAAAAAAATAATTTTTAAAATTTCTTTCAGTTGTCTTTACAAGGGCCTTGAACAACTATAATGACACCTTATCAGCTGTGAAAAATACCGAAACATTTCCATGTAACTGTTTGCCGGATTGTCAATCGAATAATTATGTATCGGAAATTACCATGGGAAGATTAAATGTTCGATTGTTGTTTCAAAATGAAGATATTGAGTAAGTTATCCCTAAAGGTTACTAGACGTAATTTTGACTTTACTTCTTGCAGGAGAGCCCCCGATGACACCAACAATATTTTATTGCATATTTTCTTTAGCGACTTGATGTCCACCAGATATCGCAAAGAAATCTATCAAAATTGGTTATCGGCTTTGGGTAAAGCTTAATCACACTTTCTTTTTTTATGACTCTTAATTGATAAATATTTATCTGATTACAGCTTCATTTGGTGGTCTCTTGGGCCTAATAATGGGTTTCAGCATTGTCACGGCATTTGAATTTGTCTATTTTTTGACATTTCGTCCAATATTTAATTATTATAACCATTACCATTAAATGCAATAAAATTGATCAATATCAAAAATTAAATTACATCAGTTCCAGAACTTGCAATCTATCTATCTATATATATATATATATATATATATATATATATATATATATATATATATATATATATATATATATATATATATATATTTATATATATATATATATATATATATATATATATATATATATATATATATATATATATATATATATATATATATAAAAGAAAGTTCTGTTAGGTAATACGCTTATTACTAAAGAACCGCTGGTCTGACTTTGAAACATACGATTGAAACTTTTTATTTCAATATTTTATCGTGTACAAACGGATTTTTCAATTTGATTAACTCTATTGACGATATTGACGTTAAATGCAGGCGGGTTACATTAAATTGTAGTATGCCGAATAATTACTATTTTTAAATCACTAAGAAATAACGAAAAGAAAGACTATTTCATTACAAAGCATTCTAAAACATTCTAAAATCGGGAAAAAATTATCAATGGAATCTAATTTCAAAATGATAGTTTATTCTGTTGGCTAACTTCGTAAGAACGCTTAAACATTTGCTGTAACAAATTCGCGACCTAGTTCAAGAATTTATTTTTTTACAATGAAATTTTATATTCTATAATTCTTTCTTTTACACGTTCTTCATAAATGCAGTTTTAAGGGAGATTTTGACTTATATTAGAAAGGTAATACAATTACAATAAAAGGCAAACACATAATTTTCCCATTAAATATATAAATTTCCTATGTGATGTGACTTATAGTGAAATTTGATTAATATATATTTTATGTCTCTGACATCATCCTTTTAAAGTGATGCTTTACTTTTGACGTCTTCTATGACGTGTGGTTTGCCCCTTTTAGAGAATATCCCATGAGAATAATTAATAGTAAGAAGAAGAATGTTACCAACTATTATTAAAGAAGACCATAACAGTCTATGCTTAATATTTCTAAATGTCATAAGGAGGGAAAATAAAAAAAAAATAATGAAGAAAATGGCAACCAGAATTTTCTGCAAAATTTGACAGAAAAATAGCCTCTTTTTGTTTCCATCGCTAGAGAAGATTGGACGGTTGGAGACACAACCATACCCCAGAAAAAAAGCAACAACAGCAAGAGTTACAAATATCGATGGTTATTTTATTGAGAGCCGAGGAAAAAACAAGATTATTGGAAATTGAAATTAATTAAAATAAAATTTATTTGTAATACCGAATAAAAGAATTAAATGGAATTATTATCAGAACTTAATTTGAAACAAAAAATATTAAAAAAGCCAATGGAACTAAATATAAATAGATATAAGTATTGGATAAAATCTATATTAAACTTAAAATAATGAGGGAGCTACACCATCTCACATCCAATCCAACGAGGGAGAAGACGCTGTTTATGGCTTCACCTGTCCAAAATGTTTTTCCTCTTTTTCAAAGTAAGATAATTTAGTAAGGTGGTAGAGATGTGGTAGAGGTCAGGTAGGTAAAGGGTCAAATCGACAAAAAAAAAAACAACATGGTGAGAGAATTTCTCCGAGGTAGGGATATTTCTTAGCCGGATAGCCGCTAGAAAATAAAAACGGTTTCTATAGAAGAATATGTATTTTACATGAATGATATAGCAGTTAGTTTACTTCAAATGTTTTCATTTTTTTATTTTCTTTTGTTTTGTTTAGTCATGTTCTATTTTCTTTTATAAACACCTATATTGATCTTTAGGAACGGTATACATTTCTAATTTTTGTCAAACGAAATGTTAATGAGTAACAAGAATCACTCCTCATCCGACGAGCCATATCCGCGTAAAACGCCAGCATAGCGGCAACGTCACACAAAATCAAAAGAATATATTTATATTTCCCCACATTCAAACATTGGTTTCTACAGACCTATACTAACATTTTAATGCAAATAATTTTGTAGAATAGTTTTTAAACCATTTTTAAAAAAAGGATCAAACAAGACACCTTTGTGGACTCACATAAACAGTGTAAATAATCCTCGTTTTTGTATATTTTGAATATTTATAATGCAACAGCCCGATTATCTTCAAATTATATACATCACAATATTTTTATTAATCCGAGGTTTCATGTGAAGATGGGATATATCGGTATATACTGGTACTGGTATATCCCCCACAAAGGGTTAACATTTCTAATGTCCATGAAGCTCATAAAACGTGAAATTTACATCTATTCAGACTTGGCACATCCCAATATTTCTATCAACACAAGATCTGTTATAAAGATTGTAAAGATTGGACCATTCCTTCTTGTACACCACCACCCCACACACAATGGGCCAAAGATTTAAATAACCAAAACGATTATAAAATCCGAAATAAGCATCCGATTCTGTCTATATTTCACACATCCCTTTATTTTTGCTAACACAAGTTCTGCTGCGACGATGGAATGTATCGGTTCACTCCTTCTGGTACTTCCCCGACAAAGGGTTCATAATTTTGAAAAACTAAACGGTCAAATAAAGCGAAATAAACATCCAACTCTCTACAAATTTCAGATACAGATAGTTTTGCTAACGCAGAAGATGAAGATGATATATATCTGCGAAAGCCCTTCTGCTACCTCACCTACAAAGGGTCACAATTTCCAATACTTATATCTGTCATAACTTGTGGAATAAGTAGGCGATTTTATACAACTTGCTATATCTACATTTCTCTTAACCAGAAATCTCGGAATTTATGATTTAATATAAAAGTGTATATAAAAGATAAATTTCCTTTGAATTTGGCACATGCCAATATTTTTATCTGTATTAGAAGAAATGGAATATTTCGGTCCATTTTATGTGGTACCTCAGGCATATTTCCACATTTTCCAAAAATGCTATTCATTTAAAGTGTAGGAAGTAGACGATACAGTCTAAATCTGGCACATTGTAATATATTTATCAGATTCAAAAATATTCTATGAATTTTACTTTTACGAAAAAAACATCATGCGAATATAGAGCAAAAACAAGTAAAAAAGCTATTAAGGTCTATACGACGACATGGACCTGCATGTGTAAATTTTGTCATAAGCCATTATAATATTCAAATGTGAAACTTAAAAAAAACGGTGAATAATGTAGCTAAAATTATCAAAATAGCGAATATCGGGAGGTTCCGTTATATGGGGCTATACGAAGACGTGGACCTGCACAGACAATTTTCTGTGTTAGGCTGTAGTATCCATTACGAACTTTAAATACCAAATTTGAAGCAATCCGGTAAAAAATGTAACTAAAATCATCAAAATACCGAATATCGGGAGGTTTCGTTATATGGGGGCTATACGAAGACGTGGACCTGCACAGACAATTTTCAGTGTTAGGCTGTAGTATCCATTACGAACTTCAAAGACCAAATTCGAAACAATTCCGGTGAATATGTCGCTAAAATCATCAAAATACCGCATATCGGGCGATACCGTTATGTGGGGGCTATACGAAGACAATTTTCTATCAATTGTTGTAGTATCCATTACGAACGTCAAATACCAAATTTGAAGCAATTCCGGTGTTAAAATCATCAAAATACCGAATATCGGGAGGTACCGTTATAATGAGGCTATACCAAAACGTGGACCTGTATGGCCCATTTTCAATACCAAGAGTCATAATATACATTCGAGTAAAATTTTATCAATCTACTTCATTTCGTTCGGAAGCTAGAGTGATTTCCACAGACGGGCAGACAGATAGACGGACAGAGGACAGGTTCCCACACTCTTGGAAATTTTCGGATTAAGATTCCCCGAAATCCGTACATTTTAGGTATATAGTTTCTTCGGCAATATTGTAGAAAAAGTACGAAGAATATTATGGTCGAAAACGAGGTTTTGATCTAAAAACGGGAACTATCTAGTCCACTTGACACAACTCAGACTGCCTATTGTGCAGTGTAATTATAAAAAAATCGTACAGTAGTAAAAATCGCTTCTAAAGATTAAAAATTCCTCCTGATGAAATCGACTATACCTCTTGCATGTGTTTAAAATAAAGGAAGATTAATTAGGATGTGACACCATATACAATCATTATTATAATTTTCTTAATACTCCGATATTATAAACACACATTTATTGAATTTATTATTTAATAACAATTGTTCAATATTTGAGTGATAACTTAATTTCAAGATACAAATATTCAATCAACGTTTATCGAATTGATAGCATGTGCTCAACCCAGCAATTAAGATGACAAACGAACGAAACATGATTGATGTTCCCTGGGGATATAAAAACCTTATTGGTGCCAACACAATCTCATCATTTAACGAAACAACCTCCATTACCCAAAATGGGTTCTTTCAAGAAATCGATTAAACGGAAAGCATATAAAGAATTCCTCAACAATACTTCAATACATGGATTACGACTCTTGCTTTTCTATACACCCTTCAAGTATGCGCGGTAAGTGCAAAGTATCAACCATAAATTGAATTGACTTTCGATATGAAAAAAGAAAAAAAACATTTTCAGTACTCTTTGGAAAATTCTCATTGTGGCCGTTATCTGTTGGACCCATTACATCATCATCAATCTGATAATACAGTATATAGATCAGCCAACTGAAGTGCATATGGCCACCAACCGGGTACACATTTCCAATAGTCCATTCCCGGCCTTTGGTGTGTGTGAGGGCAACAAATTCAGTCGTAGGAAATTGCAGGTCTATGCGGAACAGGTGTAAGTATATATGTATTTTTTATTATAAGTGTCGTTAATTGTGTGATGCTTGTTGGTGAAGTGGGTAAGCTACTGGTTCTTAATTTATTTTCAAGAGTCCCGAGAGATAAAAATAATATAGGTGTCCCATTTAATTGAAGAAGTCTAAATTGTTATTGCAAAGTGCTCGAGTAGTGTGGTCTGTTGTTAGACAAGAGATAGAGTGAATCGTCTATATTTATTTGATTGCCACTTGAGAGATATTATTGGGTATAACCCCTGTAGGAGACGTCATTTACTTTGTCATCAGTATTTCCCAGCAACATAAACCTAACTGTGATTTTGGTATTATGAGTCAAAGTGCGACTGGTATTTTTAAGTTGTTTCTGAACTAGTCTGAACTCTGAAATTTAAAACAAGCTGTAGTTGGAGTCCCTTGAGTAAATGGCATGCTAGCAGGAAATAATAAGTGAAAACCAGTAAGGAAAGTTCAAAAGTCAGGTGGGGCTGACTCGTAGAGCTCTCTTAATAGAACGGTTTATATTGCAATTTCTGAGCTCTATGACATGAAACTTAATCGAATGAAACATATATATGCGAGCAAATTTGAAATTCTTGCTTCTAAGCTAAACTCGGTTGAATTGCGAAAATTCAATCCATTTGGGCTTATTTTAGCTATTTGGTTTACAATAAACCTGAAATCGGATAATGATATATATGGGAGCTATATCCAAATCTAAACCGATTTTCATAAAATTGAAAACAGCCATTTCTTGGCTGCATCTGATATCTGGTACCAAATATTATTCTCGTATCGTGCATTTTAACAATTTGAGGAAAACACCAAATAGAATGAACCATATATATGGGAGCTGCTTCTATATCTGAGCCGATTTGCACCAAATTTAAAGTACTTATTTCTATACTGAAATGCCATGCACACCATTTGGACTGATATTAGTCATTTGATGCACAAGAAACCTAAAATCGGACGAAGATATATATGGGAGCTATATCCAAATCTGAACCGACCTTGATAACATTTGAATCATGAATTGCTAGGCTGTATCTGATATCTGGTGCTAAATATCAGTCTCGTGGAGTGCATATTACGAATGTGAGGGACTTAAACACCAAATCGGATGAAACATATATATGGGAGCTATAGCTATATCTGAACCGATTTTCATCAAATTTAAAGTACTTATTTCCATACTCAATTCGGTCGGAAGTGCCAAAATTCACACCATTTGGACTAATATTAGCCATTTGGTGCACATGAAACCTAAAATCGGACGAAACATGTATATGGGAGCTATAGCCATATCTGAACCGATTTTCATCAAATTTCAAGCACATTCTTGTAGGCTGAATTCGGTCGGATGTGCAAAATTCACATCATTTGGACTGATATTAGCCATTTTGTGCACAAGAAACCTAAAATCGGATGAAAATATATATGGGAGCTATATCTAAATTTGGACCGATTTTTCACCAATTTCAATAGGGTTGAGCCAAACAAATGTTGTTTAGAAAATTTCATCTCAATCGAATAATAAATGCGACCAGCATTTTGTTTACAAAAATACATGGACAGACCCTTACCACTATGTGGTGTAGGGTATAAAAATACATTAGCTTTGTTCCAAGAATCTATCAACTCTGTCTTGATAGTTAGTGGGTATACCAAAACATAGACATAATTCGGCCATTTTCAATACCAAAATCTCTACGGACCTCATATATATATTAGTGGAATGTTTTCTGTTCACTTCATTATGTTCAGAAGCTAGAGTGATTTCCTCAGACGGACGCACATCGCTAAATCGACGTAGAATTTTATGCTGATAAAAATATATATACTTTGTGGGGTCTAAAATGCATATTTTGCTTATGTTACTTCATCATTTCCCACAAAACGCCAGCACTTGCAGTTACCTTCTAATAACACCGTCCGACAACATTCATTTTTTTTTTTTTCAATAATTAAAGATCTTGCATATTTTGAAATTATAACTAAAAAAACGAAGACACGTGTATCGGCATTTTCCAAGTTTACATAGAAAAGTAACCAAAATAAAGGGGGCAATTTCCCTCTCTTCGACCCTTCCCCCTGGATTAAGATTACTCGGAATTCGTGCATTTTAAATATATAGCGTCTTCGGCAATATTGCAGATATATATACTAGGAATATTTTGGCTTAAAAAAGAAATTGATATTTTTTCCCGTTTTTTAAAATATGGTTAAAATATCCCACATAATTATTTGTCATAAAAGTCTACCATAGGTCCTAGAAGATATCAAGGGTCTAAATCTTACCTATACTGCAGCAATTCAAATATATTTTAAAACACACATTTTAGGTTTAAACCCGTACTTTTTGTGAGTTTGTGTAAAAATCACCAACAAGGCATCGTTTTAGAAGGAAGACGTCAAAGGCAAAAATAAAAATAAAAAAATATTTGCATTAATGTTCCTAAAAAAACCGAAAATATTCCCTAATTTTCTTGAAAATATTTTCTTTGGCTTTTTTTGAGTTGACGCGTGCATTATACAAAAATTAGGGAATATTTTCATCGTTTTTTGGGAACATTGATGCAAATATTTTTATACCGTACACCACAAGGTGGTCAGGGTATTATGTCTTTATGCATTTGTTTGTAACAGGCAAAAGGAAACGAGATAGACCCATAGTTCCTTTTGTTGATCCGCATAGAATCACTTTCTGGGTTGATTTATGCATGTCAGTCCGTCTGTCCGTCCGTCCGTCCGTCTGTCCATGTATTCTTGTGAACAAAATGCAGGTCGCATTTATTATCCGATTGAGATGAAATTTTCCAAACAACATTTGTTTGACCCAAGGACGAACCCTATTGAAATTGGAGATAATCGGTAACAAATTAGATATAGCTCCCATATATATCTTCGTCCGATTTGCCTTTTATTGTGCACCAAACGTGTAATATCAGCCGAATAGCATGGATTTTTGCACATACAACCAAATTAGGCCTGAAAATAAGTATGCCAAATTTGATCGAAATCGGTTCAGATATAGCCATAGCTCCCATCTCAGGAATACCTTTGCTAAATTTTATTGAGATCGGTTCAGATTTGGATATAGCTCCCATATATAACTTCGTCCGATTTACCTTTTATTGTGCACCAAATCTAATATTTGCCCAAATGGGATGGAATTTGGCACATAGAAGGTAGTATGCCAAATTTGGTGAAGATCGGTTAAGATATAGCTATAGCTCACATATATATTGTTCATTCGATTTGTTGTATTTGTTACCCACAGCCGTAATATGCACTCCGTAACAACGATATTCAGGGAAATATATAAAATACAGGTCAGAAATACCTTTGCCAAATTGTATCGAGATCGGTTCAGAAAAATTTCCTCCAAAATATTCATCGTATTCATATCTGCAATGTTGGCGAAGACACTTTATACCTTAAATATAAGGATTCCAAGGAGTCTTAATTCGAACATTTCAAAAAGTGTGAAACTTGCCCCTCTATTTTGGTTACTTTGCGATGTAAACTTTCAAAACGCTGATACACTTGTCTTCTTTTTAGCTCTACTTTTATAATTATTTTTGTAAATATACCATGCATATTCTGTAGTGGACATAATGTTAGACATAATTTACCGATAATGAGAAAAATAATGCTCCAAACCCGATCTTCGAGAAATAAAGAATCTATATATTTACATATATCTAATATTTCCTACAACAATTCCCATCTTTTTTTCTCAAATATAAAAAATCTCTTCATCGAATGTGCAAACAAAATTTATTTCGTTATCGATTTTCAAACTCATCCCACTTAGTTCTTAAAATAACCCAATTTTTGGACTTCTTGAACCATAGCAGTAATAGAATCCATAGTCTCCTCACCGGTGGGGACAATTTGAGCAGCTGGCAATTTGAAACCAGTCAAAATAGAGTTCGAAGATGGACGCAATTCATAGCAGAAGGACATCTTGGTGCCAACAACTTCGTAGGCCCAATCGACACTAGCACCAGAAGCTGGATAGATGGCATCGTAGATGTTGCCACCGGTGTATTTGGTACCGTAACGCTTGTTCATGGCAGCAACACTGGCATCAAATACTTGCTTCAAATCCTTGACATTGGCGGGCAAGGCAGCAGTATTGCCATAAGGATACAACAAATATTGCGAGTAGGCATGGAAGGAGATGTACAGGGAAATTTTGTTTTTCAACGAGGCAATGTATTCGGACAAGGAACGGGTTTCAATTTCAGAGAAAGCCGATGGACCAGCATAGGTATCAGAGCAGGCATTGTTACTGGCACCTACAGTGTTCCAGGCAAAGCCCCAGTTGCGGTTGGGATCGGCACCGAAACAGCTGCCATAAGGAGTACGGGTCTTGCGCCACATGCGATCAGTGGTGTGGGTGTAGACATAACCATCAGGATTGGCATGGGGGAAAATGTACCAGTCGTAGTTTTGGGCAATGTTGCGAACACTTTCCACATTGGAGGTCAACAATTGATTGATCAAGTAGGTGGCCGTGGCGGGAGCAATCCATTCACGGGCATGGATACCTGCTTCAACGAAGATACCAGGCTTGGTGGTTTGGCTCTTGGAGATCTTAACACCCAAAATGGAACGTCCCTGATAGGTTTTGCCGCCTTCAATCAAAGTCACAACACCGGGGTATTCAACGGCCAATTGTTGCATCCACCTGTAGGTATCATCCAATTGGTAGTATTGATTCCAGTTGTAGTCCAAAGAACGGGCTAAGGAGTTTGGCTTGGCCACCTGTTCTTCATCGTCTTCCAATTGACTTTGCAAATTTGTCTCTATCAACTCATAATCGATTTCATTGCTACCCATAATTTCCAAAAAGTCTGGGACCTTGTGGGGGGCTACGACAACGCTTATGGGCTTGTTGATGTGATGAATGCCATCCAAGAACATAATCGAATCACTGGCACCCTCCAAGTTCTTCAGAACCTCCAATTCAGCAGGACTGGAAGCGGTAGTTTGGTAAACGCGATAGTTGTCGTAACGGGCACGTTCGCCGGAACTCAAGGCAACTGCCAAGAGGCAGAAACCCAAAACTAGATTTAATTTACTTGCCATACTTGTTGGGACTGTTGCAACTGTGGCACCCGTTGTGGTTTTTATACAATCAGGAATATGTGGTGCCGTGCCTCAATAGCTTTACCATTAGATAAGTTTTGCTATTTTCATCTACATACCTAGCCACGTAGCTATAGATAAGATGTGGTGACAACGTTCAAAGGCATATATTTTTATCTGCCCGCAGCAAACTGCCTGCCTATTGTATGCACTTCTTGCGACGAACGCACACATTCAAGTGTTTCATTGATTCACGGTTATAAATTATCCTAAATATTTTCAAAATCTATTTGTTTTCTTTTTTATTTATGTATTTAAATTTGTCCAACAGAGGTATTAACAGATTGTGATATCTTCAAGTGATATCATTGAATTGATTAATCGCAGTGAAAGAAAAAATATTCTGGTACACCCAGTTCTCGTTTTACGCACAATTTGAAATAAAGTTTAATTTGGATGATGAAGGTTTTTTTCGGATAGTTTTAACGTAAAAACTGTTCACGTATTGCAAAAGTAGGATAATTTGCCGCCAAATATTCTGTCAACCACTAAGAAAAGGTCAAAAGTCGGGCGGGGCCGATATGTGATATCCAACACCACTATGCGTATTTGGTAGAACTCCCGTAACAAAAAAAACAGTAAAGAAAGTCTTAAAGTCGGGCGGGGCCGATATTATGATACCCTACACCACTTTGCTAAATTAGTAGAGCTCCGCATAACAATTAAAAGTTTTAATGGGAGAATTCAATCGTACACGTTATGATTATAATTATAATTTAAAGATCAAAGGACTAAATATACCGAAGCATTTGCATCTTTTAAATTCGGAATTGTATTGCCCATTTGGTGCACAATTAATTTCAAATCGGATAAAAATATATATGGGAGCTATATCCAAATCTGAATCGATCTCGATAAAATTTGGCAAAGATATTTCTGAGCTGTATTTGATATATTTCCCAGAATACCGTTGTTACGGAGTGCTTATTACTGCTGTGGGTAACAAATATTACAAATCGGATGAACAGTATATATGGGAGCTATAGGAACATCTGAACCGATCTTCACCAAATTTAGCTTCTAGACCAAATTCGGTCGTAAGTGCCAAATTTCATCCCATTTGGGCAAATATCACACTTTTGGGGCGCAATAAAAGGCAAATCGGACGAAGTTATATATGGGAGCTATATCCAAATCTGAACCAAACTCGATAAAACTTAGCAAATGTATTTGTGAGCTGTATTTGATATATTTCCCCAAATATTGTTGTTACAGAGAGCATATTACGGCTGCGGAGGACAAAAATAACAAATCGGATGGACAATATATATGGGAGCTATAGCTATATCTGAACCGATTTCGATTAAATGTGGCATACTTATTTTCAGGTCCAATCTGATCGTACGTGCAAAATTCCATACTATTCGGACTGATATTACACGTTTGGTGCACAATAAAAGGCAAATCGGACGAAGATATATATGGGACCTATGTCTAAATTTTTACCGATTATCTCCAATTTCAATAGGGTTCGTCCTTGGGCCAAACGAATGATTTGTGCAAAATTTCTGGATAGCCCAATAAATGAGAACTGTACTTTGTTTACAAAAATACATGGACAGACAGACGGACGGACGGACATGCATAAATCGACACAGAATGTGATTCTATGCAGATCATCAAAAGGAACTATGGGTCTATCTCGTTTCCTTTTGCCTGTTACAAACAAATGCACAAAGACATAATACCCTGACCACCTTATGGTGTAGGGTATAAAAATATATTGGGAATTCATGTGACGTATATCATACCAACTATGAGTCCAATAACATTAATGCATGATATGACTTCGATAAGGATTATAAGGATAAGATTTATTGGAGCAATACACATTCCGGACCGAGTTTCTCCAAATGGTAAAATTAGGTTGAATATGAACAAATCTATTCAATTTGGGCTAATATTACATATATGGTGACAAAAACCGTAAAATCGGATGAAGACATATATCGAAGCTATATAAAAATCTGAACCCGTCTCGATAAAATTTGGCAGAAGTATCTTCGAGCTGTATCTGATGCCCGGTATCAAATATCATTGTTGTGGAGTGCATATTTCGCATGTGAGGGACTTTAACACCAAATCGGGTGAGCTATGGGAGCTATAGCTATACCTGAACCGATTATCACCCAAATTTGAAGCAGTTAATTTTAGGTTGAATTCTTTCGAAAATGCCAAAATTCGGTCCATTTGGGCTAATATTAGCCATTTTGTGCACAAAAAAACCTGAAATCGGATAAAGAAATATATGGGAGCTATATGCAAATCTGAACCGATCTTGACAAAATTTTAAAAACCTATTCTGTATCTAATATATCAAAGATTATAGTAGTGGAGTGAGGAGGATATATGGGAGCTATAGCTAAATCTCAACCGATTTTCACCAAATTTAAACTACTTTTTTCTAGGACTAATTCAGTCTGAATTTCCGAAAATGCAGTCCTTTTGGACAAATATTAATCCATTATTAGGTGCCCAATAAACCTGATATCGGATAAAGATATATATGGGAGCTAAATCCTAATCCGATCCGATCTCGATGAAATTTGACAGATTTATTTTTGAGCTTCATAAGTTATATAGTATTAAATATCATCCTTGTGGAGTGCATATTACGCATGTGAGGGACTCAACACCCCAAATTTCATGAAACATATACATGGGAATTTAAACTATATCTGAACCGATTTTCTCCAAATTCTATGTACTTGCTTCTAAACTGAATTCAGTCGGATGTGCCAAAGTTCGGGTAATTTGGACTGGTATTGGAAAATGTTTATACGTTTGATTGTTTATTTGTAATTTATGGACTCAAAAACCGCTGCACAGATTTCCCTGAAAAATTCCAAGTACAACATCGCCTGAAAGTAATAAAGACTATATAAATTCTTAAAATTCCACTTGGAACTGGAAATATAGCATTAGAATCGGAGGTACCTGCAAAAAATTTAGATTTTATATGCACATATCTACTGATCGATTGGAGATACAGGCTCTAAATTTGGAATGTGTAACGGAATTTGGAACAAAATAAATTTGAGAAACTATATTGAAATCGGCTCAGATTTGGAAGTAGTTCCCATATATATTTTCGTCCGATTTCATGCATTTCATTCACCAAACACGTTGCGTGTGCCAAATGTCAATGAAATTTGAATGTGTGATGGAATTTGGTCTAAAAATTTATTTGCTAAATTATATTGAAATCAGTTCAGATTTGAATATAGCTACCATATTTATATTGGGCCGATTTCACATATTTGATGCACGATATACGTGTCCGATTCCAATGAAATTCGGAATAAGTGGCTGAATTTGGCACAAAAACAAAGTTGTCAAATTATGTTGAAATCTGTTGAGCTTTGGATATAGCTTCAACATATATTTTTGGCCGATTTCATGTAATTCATGCATCAAATACACTATGTATCTCCAATTTCAATGAAATTTGGGTATGTATCGGAATTTGGTACAAGCATAGATTTGCCAACTTATATTAAAATCGGTAAACATTTAGGTCAATTTGGTGTATTTGATGCACCAAACATGCTTTGTAAATTTGTAAATTTAGAATGTGTGACGTAATTTGGTCTAAAAATAAATTTTGTCAAATTATATTGAAATCTGTGCAGATATGGATATTATTTTATTAAGAAACATAGACCCACCACGCCTTTGCAATGGTATTAGACTAACATTAAAAAAAACTATACAACACTCTATGTGGACTATGATTGTTACGGAGAAGTATGTAGTTTCAGTTGTATTTCTACCTCGAATCGCCCTAATAGCAACAGAAATGCCGTTCAAATTTAAAATAATACAGTTTCCTGAACACCTGGCAAATGCTATGACAATTAATAAATCCCGAAGACTAACTCTTCGTGTATGCTGACTAAATTTGACATGTTCCTGCTTTTCTCATGGCCAGCTGTACATGCCATGTTCACGCGTTGGTAGACAGGGCGATTTGTTTGTTTACGCTCTTGAAGGAAAAACCAAAGCAATACTTTAAATAGGTTTTTATGTTCTTAAATTTTTATTTTAAAATTGTAAAATATTCTTATATAAAATTTTGAATGCACATAAAATTGAAAGGGGTAGCGAAACTCACCAGGTTCAGCTAGTCTAGCATATATGTCCTCTGCTGTTATTTCCAGACCCTTTCTTATAGGAAACAAGTAAAAATGCTGTAAGTTCGGCCGGGCGGAGTTTTGAATACCCTCCACCATTTGGAACGAATTTTGGCAATTTTCAAAAAAAAAATAAAATCCTTTAAAAATTCAGTTAAAATCTTAAAAATACCGAATGTAGCAGTTATATTAGGGTCTATACGACGACGTGGACCTGCATAGGCAACTTTCGTCATAAGCCATCACAATATTCAAATCCGAAACTTGAATTAAAAAATCAGTGAATAATGTAGCTAAAATCATCAAAATACCGAATATAGGGCGTTACCGTTATATGGGGACTATACCAAAACGTAGACCTGCACCTACAATTTTCTGTCATAGGCTGTAGTATGCACTAAGATCTACAAATACCAAATTTAAAACAATCGTAGAATAATGTCTCTAACATCATCAAAATACCGAATATCAGGGGATACCGTTATATGGGGCCTATACGAAGACGAGGACCTGCAACAGACAATTTTCTGTGATAGGCTGTATCCATTACGAACTTCAAATTCGAAATAATTCCGTAAAATAATGTCGCTAAAATCATAAAAATACCGAATATCGAGAGGTACAGAAGACGTGGACCTGCACAAAGAATTTTCTGTCTTAGGCTGTAATATGCATTACGAACATCAAATACCAAATTTGAAACAATTACGGTGAATAGTGTCGCTTAAATCACCAAAATACCGAAAATTGGGAGGTACCATTATATGGGGGCTATACCAAATCACGGACCTACATGGCCCATTTTCAATACCAAAAGTCATAAATACATTTG